GGGAAGGCGCGCGGGTAGCGCGGGGCGGGGCGGGGCCGGGCCGGGCACGAGGCAGCGCGGGCGATCCCGCTGGGGCGAGGAGCAGCTAAACTCGCGCGCGATCGCGCTCCCGCTCCCGCTTCCGGTTCCCGTGCCCGGCCGCCGCGACGCCCACGCGGGACGGCGGCACGCAGAGCGCATGCGCGCGGCGCCGGCGTCCCCGCGTTCTCCGGGATACCGCGGGGGGAAAGGGGAGGGCGAGCAGGGAGGGCTGCGCATGCGCCCTGAGCCCCGCGGCCCCGCCCGGGCCCCGCGGTTGCCATGGAGACGCGGCCTAGGCCGGGCCCGCCGGGACCGAGCCGTGCCGAGCTGTGCCGGACACGGCCGGGACGTGGGATCCGCCCTCACAGTCTGCTCCCGCTGCGGGAACCGCGTGTCTGAATAGCTGTTCTGCAAACCCCCAGGCTCTGTGCTGCAGATAATTATCATAATGCTTCCAAAGCAGCAGCGGGGAGACATGAAAGGAAGGATGTGGTAGTTAATTAATATGTTGGCACTCGGCGGTTGCATCTGTTTAACAAAGCCACATGTTTTGCGTACGGAACATGCAGCCTGTTGTGTGACTCAGGCTTGTCTGCCAACAGGCAGCCGCTCTTCCTAATCCCCCCTGGCAAACAGCATCCCAAACACCCTCGGAGCTGGAGCTGCTCTGCAGTGCCTGTAGCCAGTCTGAATCACAGAGTAGTTTGGTTGGAAGAGACCTCTGAGATCATCCAATCTGACCTGTGACCCAGCACCACCACGTCTGCCAGACCATGGCACTGCGTGCCACATCCAGGATTTCCTTGAACTCCTCCAGGTGGTTGGAGGCAGTATGAAAACACACAGATTAGGAAGAATTTCCTTTCTGTGAGGGTTGTGAGGCACTGTGACAGGTTGCCCAAGGAAGTTAACATATGCCCCATTCCTGGAAGTGTCAAGACCAAACTGGATAGGGCTTGAAGCAATGTGGTATAATTTAGGTTGTTCCTATTCATGGCACAGGGCTTGGAAGTAGATATATCTTTAAGTGCTTCCAACCCAAACCATTCTATGATTCTGTGAATCCACCATTCTATGATAATGAGTTAAAGTGTAGGGAGAGTGCTAGATTAATCAACTGTGCCTTTCTGGCCCAGTTACTCCCTTTGAGATAAAATACAACTTTCTGCTTACTGGTTAAGCTGTTTTGAAGTCCTACCTTACTGCTGAAGTGTCCCAATCTGTTTTAATAAATAACTTGGAATTCATTGTCACAGTCCATTATTCTGTTGGTATTCTATAATGTATCCACTTTTATAAATCATAAATACAGTACACAAACAGTCAAGAATAAAAGATAATCTAATTAATTCAGCTATCCACCTAAAAAACCAAACCAAGCCAACAAAACCCAAAGAACAAACAACATAAAAATCCAAGAAGGAGACTTGAATACATATTGGTCCCATTGCAGGTTTGATTTGAAAACACAAGTTTGATCTCCTACTTGCTATATTCCCTTTGTGTAATCCTGAACAATTCATATACAACAGCTGTTAGTTCAGCAACAACAGCCAAGCAGTAATATAAAATACCCTCATATAGAACTCAGTCTGTTGAGGAGAAAATAATAAAGGTGACAGATAGCAGCCTAGATAAAGTTATGGAACTGACACAAGAGTGACAAGTGAAAATTGAACAATTGATTTTCTTTCCATTTATTAGCTTGTATTTATACTGAAAGAAGAGGGAGTGGAAAGGAAAAGGAAAGAAGAGTTATTTTTTCTTTCCCAAGGTCAAGTGAAGCTTGCAGACAGGGAAACCCAACAATTATTGTCTGTATTCATTGTTGGACTTGAAGCAGGAGGGGAAGCAGACAAAGTCTGCACACACCACCAGTTCTTTGGTGCTTGTTCATGAATCCCAGTGAGGCTGGGCCTCAGAAAGTCACTTGGGTGGCTTTGGTGGTGAGGAAGGGTGTCATTCTATGGAAATGTGTCTTCCCACAGAGTGGAAATGCCTTTTTCTTGGACACCGTATAGTAAACACAATTACCAATTGCTAAACAGGGGCTGGCTCTGAAAACTAAACCAAGGGATGATTCAGTGTTGGCAAATGCTCTCAGCCAAATCAGAAGGTGAATAATGGTTTGGAAGTTTGACCATAATATGTAACCAGGCTGGACTTATTTATTAACACAGAGTACAAATCTCCTTTTGGCTGTAGGTTTCATTTCTTTCATTATTGTAGTTTTAATTGTTTATTTCACATCTAAGTGCTGCTGTAGGTGCATGGTTTGTGGTAATTGGGACAATTACCTGACACATTGGGGATGCAGCCGAGCCTCATCCCCAATGGGCTACAGCTGTGCAGGACAGGTGAGCAGCATTGAAGGTCATGAGACACAGGTGCACTGACCAACCACCAACCAAAGGGAACAGAGGGCACACAGATGCAATGCATGAATGTGAGGGGTATAAAAAGTTGGGCTAAAGAACAGGATGTGTAGATGCCTGAAGCTTTCTGATATGGTGTTGCTTTATTTGGGTTAGTGCTTAAAGCTGACATTGTATGGTGATACTCTGTGTATCTTGGCCATCTCAACTGTGACATACTGCATCTTTTATTTACAAGAGTATGCATGTAAGTCACTGTCATGTTATTCCGTTCTCTGTGACTAAAGCAGGCTAAAATCTTTGTGCCTTAACACAAGACAAGTTACCTTTTATTTCTGTAACCTTACCTATGTTTTCAAGAGCAGGCTATAGAAAATAGAAGTTCAAGAAATTATCTTTTGATAATCTCTGTTATTTCTTTAAATCAAAGTCATAAAATTGTGGAAACACAGAATAGTTTAGGTTGGAAGGAACCCCTGGAGGTTATATGTGATCTAATCCTGCTCAAAGCAGGGCTAATTTAGATGTGGCTGCTCAGGGCAACCAGTATAGTTCTGAATATCTCAAAGTGTGATGAAACCACAACTTTTTCTGGTAGTTTATTCTGGTGTTTGACTGCTTTCACAAAGCAAGCAAAAAGTCCTTCATTCTAGTCCCAGTTTCACTGCTGTAACTTTTTATTTGTTACTTCTTGTCCTATCTCTGCCTTTTCAGGAGTGTTTGTCTCTATCTTCTCTCGGTGCTCTCATGAGCTAGGTGAAGATTGCAGTAGAATCCCTGTACTATAACCTTGTAATCTCAGGGCTGAACAAGCCAATTCCTTTGAGCTTTTTGTCGCATGTCAGTTGTTTAAGTCAGCTTATCATCGTGGTCATCTTCCAAAGGACTCTATCCAATATGCCCCTGTCTTTTTTTATTCTGGGAAGTGCAAACCTGGGAGCAGTACTCCATCTGCAGCCTCACAAGGGATGACTAAAAAGGGTCAGTCCTTGATTTTCCTTTGAAGGCTGGACTTGCCTTCAAACAAACCTTTGAAATGAAGGGTTAAGCATCAGGGTGTCTAACCCTGCCATGCTGGCTGTGAGTGTCAACACATCTCTGTTCCAAAGCAGGGGGCTGTTCAGGGCAGATGAGCATCACAATCAGAACTTAGCCTGAAGCTTTGCTGATGGTGCCAGAGGCTGAATAGGTTGCAGTTTGGGGGTTTTTTTCCACAACAGCTTGGGCTTTGTAGTGCTGACAAAGGTGAAATCATCTGCTAGTAAGCACATGAAAGTTGGGTGCATTATGGGCTGGTACTAACAAAGAGGAAATGTAACAACATTGCTTCCCTCAGAGTACTCATAGTTAAAGCAATAAACAACTGACTACTAAAAGTGATAGTAGTCACTTTTACTCTACTAAAAGTGAGTAAATGTGATTTTTTTTTTAGCCAAATGAAAATAAATTATTATTGCACTTTTTTAGCTGCCTAGAATAACACCATAAGTGACATTCCAGAATTTTACAAGCACTTAGAAAACTGGAAATTCCCAGCTCTTTATGGAAGAATTGGCTAGCAAAATTATGTCTTTTGTGGAAATGGTGGCCATTGAGGAAAAAGCTGTAAATAATAGGTGTAATTTCCTATGCACGTATTTTTAGCCTAATTCAGAAAAGGTGTTTGTGGGCAAGTTGCATTTGGAAAGTGAGCATAAATATGTCTAATTTATATGTTGTGTGGAAGAAGGACTGGAGAGGTTGGGTAATACCAGAAGTAGGCTAAAAACCAAGAAAATGTCTAAAAGTTTCAAGGAAGCTGCCTCGTGATCTCCTGCTTGCTAGATTTGCAATTTTCCATTAATGAACTGTGCACTTCATTGTGTGTTATGGTTTCCTTACCCTTAACAGGAATTTTATGAGACTGTTTTTTTCATGGTGGAAAGATTTTGCAGGTGGGAGAGACATTGACTGCTGGCTTCAAAATCTTGCTATTTTTGAAAGAATTTAATATTTTAAGTGTGTTAAGCACTGTCTGAAACTCTACAGTGTGTATAGCCTGCATGTGTGCTGTAAGCTGTCATTGTTCTAGAAAATACAGAAGTTTTGATCACTAGATACAGAATAAATCTGCTTTAATCAAACCAACAGTTTTCAAGTTCAGAGTGACTGAATTAATCATACAGATTATACTCAGGGGATTTAATATTTGAGCATTTGAAAACAGTAATGAAAAATTTGTGCTCATAGTCCACTCAGTATCTTAATCAAATTGGGACCACTGAGGTACCACTTATGGTTCTACCCTGAGATCTACATTTTCAGAGCAGTGTGCGCCTGCGTTTGTGTAGGCTCATCACAGCTATACTGGTTGTCCTATAAACATCAGAAGATAAAAAACAAAAATCTGAAAACCCCCCCAACCAATCAAAAAATTTTTTAAAATCCTCAAAACTACAAAAATCTCCTCTTTTGGTTACATGTGTTTGTGTGAATTTGTATAGTCTAATACTTTGCGGAATGTTTTGAATATACCAATGTGTTTGATAAGCCAAGTATCTCTTTATAACTATAAGACCAAGG